GTAACAAGAGCCATTGGTAAAGCTTTCTTCTGTACAAATTGTAAGGACACCCCAAAGGAAACCTTTTCTTCCCAGATCTGCCCAGCCTCCCGGGATGGACAGGAAGGAGACTAGGAATCTCCCTCCGTGACACAGGTCACTTTTACACCTCCCTGGACAGTAGATGTCCCCTGCACAAGGCAAAAGGACCAGCCAGCAGGAGGAAGGTGGCTAAGGATCCAAATTCCGTGGATTGTCTCCTGTCAGGAAGAGCCTCAGACTCTCGAGGCTTGAGTCTGCATCCTCCTCTGGAGAGCGCGCTGGCTCTCTCCACACCACTTGTCTCCCTGACCACTAAGGGTCCAGGAAAGAAAATCCCAAGCTCAGTGGAATATGCCCACCCTTCATGACCAGCCCCGAAGACCTCTCTGCTGTTGAACATTAAACCTTTTCAAAGGTCTTCTGTCCCACATCGGAGAAATTTGTGACATATCTCTCAACACCAGAAAGCCTCCCCCATCCCCACGTGTGCAGAGGCATGCAGATGCACACATACACAACTAACTGGTTCTGATTCCCAAGGCCAGGCTGAGAAAATGAAGATATCTCAAGAAAAACTCCAACTGCTTCATTTGCAGCAAGTTGGGGTCAAGATGGGATGTGTACTCAGGATGCTCTCCCAGTGACTGCACTGGGGTAGCATTAGCTAATGATCAAAGACCAAACTGGGATGGTAGAGGGAAGTGTGTGTGTGTGTGTGTGTGTGTGTGTGTGTGTGTGTGTGTGTAAACTGCAAATCTCCAGTGATTTTTAAAGGACACCCCTTATTACACTATCAAATGTGCATTTTCAATGGGCAATGGACCCAGGATGCCTGATGTTAAAAAGCAATCACCAAAAGGTAAGCATTCTGTAAACTCCACTGTTGAGACTAGACCTCTCATTAAGGTTACTATCAGGAGACAGGAGTCTTGTGTTTGCTGATCATGGGGCTTGTAATTACACTTTGGTGACAATTCAAAAATAAAATTATTTTTAATCTGTTATTTTATGAAATTTGAAACAGTTTGTTTCTGGACAACTGAAATAGCCGGTCTCCTTTTGCACATACAGTACAATCTCCAGTTCTGGGCTGTGTGAACGCACTCCTAGGAGCAACTTCAACAATCTGTCTCCACACCAGTGGCCACTTCCTGACGCTGGACTCCGAGGTCAGTGGATAGCCTGTACCTAGCGATCAGAATTGCTGAGCACCTTCGACTCAGCAGGGTACAGCCACTCAGGATGGCCAGTTGTCCTGTAGGAGGAAGGACAGTTTCCCTCTGTAGACACCAAGACCTGGCTCAGACTGGACATTTTTGTCTAAAAGAATGAACCTTGTTCAGACTACCTGACATCGTGAGGAAGGCCAGAACTTCTCGGAAAGAGAAGGCTGGAGCAATGGCCCTTAAGTGGGGACAGTAGTCAGCCTGAAGCATTTGACCGTCACTGCCTGGGCAACCGTCATGCCTGGGCTCTGGCTGGAGAGCAGCTCACTAGACAAATATGGCGCAGTCCGAGTTCTCATCAAACAGCAGCATGGTCTTGGCATCCTTTAGGGCAGCCCTCAGCGTGTGTGCCTTTACGGGTGCACGTGGAAACCAGTCAGTGTGGTCTTCCTCAAGCCTCAGTAGCTGTCTATCGTATTTCTTTACATGCTTTTTATTTAGGGAAGCGGGCACAAGCATGGCGTGGTGCTCATGTGGAGGCCAGGGGACAACTTAATGGAAGTAGGTCCTTTTCTAGTGTATGTGTTCTGGGGACCAAAGACACACACACACACACACACACACACATACACTCATAGGGTTTGTCTGTGCAGCTAGCTTGGCTGTCCTAGAACTCGCTCTGTAGACCAGGCTGGCCTCAGATTCACAGAGATCTGCCTACCTCTGCCTCCTGAGTGCTGGGATTAAAGACATGAGCCACCACGCCTAGCATTATTTTTTCATTTTAAGATTTTTGTGCTTTGCCTCCAGGCATGCAGTACCCACAGACACCAGCAGAGGGACACATGCTCGTGAGTGGCCACACGGACACTGGGAAGTGAACCCAGGTGTTCTCAAAGAGCAGTCAGTACTCCTAACTATGGACGAGGTCTCTGGTTCCCCGCCCCACACTGAATCTGGAGCTTGCTAATCAGCTAGCCTGGCTGTAAGTCCCAGAGATCCTCCTGCCTCTGCCTTTCAAGCACGGGGATTACAGGAGCAAAGCTCTGAACATACGTGGGTACTAAGAATCCTAACTCAGATCCTCTTGTTTGTGTGGCACTTTCCTGAGCCAACGTCCCAGCCCCCTTCACCTGCAGTCTCATGGAGATAGCAGTCAATAAACAGTCTCCGCCCCACCCTAACCTCTTCTTCCCAAGCAACCTCAGTTTAACCCCAAATCAGGACAATTACTATGATTCAGCCAATGGGGTCTGCTACAATGAAGCTTCTGCCACCAACCAGCACCCCATCCTCTGGGACACCACCCCCATTCCCATGGTGACCTCTTCTAAGAGACCAACACCCTCCAGTCCCTGCCTGCTTCATTCACTCCAAAAGGCCACACAGCCATGTCCATACTAACTTCCAGGCTCTGCGACTTTATTTTTTTTGTATGAGTACACTGCAGGTGTCTTCAGACACACACCAGAAGAGGGCATCGGATCCCATTACAGATGGTTGTGAGCCACCATGTGGTTGCTGGGAATTGAACTCAGGACCTCTGGCAAAGCAGTCAGTGCTCTTAACTGTTGCGTCATCTCTCGAGCCCACACTGTGACTCTAAAAGGAACAGTAATACCTTCTCTCTAGGGTCTTCCCCTTCCAGTAAATTGTGCCCCACTCAGCTCAAATGGCTAAGCACCCCAGACAGCTAGAGGTGTCTGGTCAGAGCTGGCTCTCAGGCAAGGTACCAGCAGGGAAACCTGTGTGTTGAACTGCTTAGCTCCTACTGGGGAGAAAGTTACGAAAGGCAGGGGTGAGAGACTGTGGGGGCTTCTGGAAGTACACATTAGAACGAGTAAGGACTCCTGTACATACTTCCTGGGCTGCACCAACCCTCAAGGGAGGGCACCTGGAGCAACTGCTACAGGCAGGGAGCAAGCCTGTGCCAGCACCGTTTCATGACTTCCGTGAACTGAAGTCAAGGCTTAAAACTCCAGTGTTCTGTGCCAACACTTCCGATAAAGACAGGTAAGGCACGAGGCCAGACAGACATAGAGGAGACAGGTCTAGGAGGGGCCTGGGTACAGCTGCTGCGGCAGGTCTAACAGAATTCAAGTCCACTCCACTCTACCTCCCATTGGAAAAAGTCAGATGTTTGCAGAGCAAGTCTCCAGGGTCAGTCAACTCCAGCCAAGCTCATGGAGGCTCAACTCTATGGATGGGAGGTTAACAGACAGAACATACTTTTCTGTGCCGGATGCAACTAACCAGTGAGAAGAAAGTTTAACAGGTTGAGAAGAAAAAAAGCCTTGCACAGTGACAGTAGCCATGTGTCAGCCACTTTAATGGAAAAAGTGATCAACATCCATTCAAGTACAGGAGTTAGAAAGGCATAAAAACCAGCGAGTTTCCATTTTATTACAAGTTTCAAAATCTGGGACCACCGTTTAGAAGCATATGCTAATCAAGCCAGGGTTAATGTTTTTTTTACAGCCGATCTAAAAACCACCACATGGTACACCAATGTAACAAACGAGATCGACAGACCCAAGTCACAAAGCTAATCACCACGAGGGGCTGCACCTGAAGTTGGAAGGAAACGCCTCCTCCTCCAAGGGCAGGGAAAGACAGTAACAGTTCTGCTTCAAGAAATTTGCATAGAAATAGAAAACACTGGAGCCTTTGCCACAGGAGTATTGCAAAGCCTCAACAGGTTAAACTCGATCCATGGACTACGAGTTTACTTGGAAGCTCGGCAGAACTTGGACATTTGATGTCCGGGCCTCAAGTGTGGCCACTGGCTGTAAGCGACCCCTTTAAACACTGCATGCTATTAGAGAGCCAGCAGATGCTTCTGCACAGGTTTTGACCAGGGGAGCACCGTATGGCGTTGGGGGAAGTCTTCCAAGGTAACCCTTGATAAAGACATTTCCCACCTGCCAGTCCTCCAGGCACACAGTGGCAAGAAAACCCCACAGGGCCTTCCATGCCCAGTTCCCTGCAGGTACACAGACTGGAGATTAAACCTGGAGCCCATTAGGCCAGAGTTCCACCACTGGGCTGTGGTCCCAGACTACGACTTTTATCAAAGTCCAATTGTGACTGCTTAGGAAGCAGCCCTTCCACATCTTCCCATCAGAGGCCCTGGAGCTCTGAGTCTGGAGGGACTCCCCCTAATGGGAACATCTGGAAGCTGTCTTCCTCGCCCTCTGCTGGAGACTAGACAAACAGCTTGTTGCAAAGACATAGAAGCCACGAGTTTTAATTTTCCCTACAAGCCCTTGTTGACCTCTGACTCAGAAAATACCCTATAGAGAGCCACCTAAAGGCATGGCTGCCCAGCATATATTTACAGACCCTTTAATAATAAAGAGCAGAATATGCAGCAGTAATATTGGAAGACCCCCCTCTTATTTCAATAGGAAGGAAGGTGGTTAGTATACACAACTGTGAGCAGCCTGTGTTCAGACTTGGAGACAAATGTCCCTGAAACCTGTCTTACTGGCTGCCATTTTCCCAGGAGAAAACACACACACACACACAGAGAAATCGCCTGTCTGCTTCTACCAAGGAGCACCACACTGCATCTCAAACCTTACTGTGAGAGGGGAAACAGATACAACCAACCACCAGGCTCTACCTGCTCAGTGTCAGATGCAGCCCCTTAGCCTGGTGCTTCTGTTGGCATTACTACTGGAGAACTGAAGGTTCTGAGCAGGAAAAAGTATCTATACACAAATGAGCAGCAGCCCAGATAACGCCCAGTCCCTGTCATTTCCAACTTCCTGTCCAATCCACACTGCAGAGATGCAAGGATAAACCACCGGGTTTTGTTCCTAAGTTTTATTTATGAATTAATACAAAACACTGTAGAGCAATGAGTCTTAATCCTCGTCCTCATCCTCCTCTTCATCCTGGTTAATCTGGAAGTAACGCAGCTCATAGCTCTCTTTGCTGTTGGCGACAACACGCAGCCAGTCTCGGAGGTTGTTCTTCTTCAAATACTTTTTGGTGAGATATTTCAAATACCTGCAGAGAAAGAACACAAGAACTACACTAGACCAGCAGCTTTTTGCATTCTGAAACATCTAAACTTCATTAAACACATCGAAAACAACTGTAATGTTTTCCAGACACACGCCAAGTGCACCCAAGGCAGTGCTCCAACAAGGCAAGTGTCTGTCACACATCCCTAAATTGGCAATAAAAGCAGACACCTACAAAACTGTAGTGACCACTAGAGAAAGATCACACAGGTAAGCTGCTGGTTACACACGTGGTTACACACTCGGTTACACACGCCTCACACCTCTGCTGAGAACCGTTAACCTTCCGGTCAACCCCAAGCACTTCCGCATCCCGCAACCCTCCAAGGTTCCTGCAGCCCTCCGAGATCCCCACAGCCTTCAGAGGTGGCGGACCAAAGCCGTCCAGGACGCTTATCACTATTCTGTATCCTGACGTCTTTGATGGCATGGCTATTACCCAAACCATGGGCACATCGTGTGCCACCCAGACACTCTTGTTATGAGATGGGCCCCACTGTTACACAGGCTGGCCTCAAATGGTCTGCCTCGCTCGGCCTGAGGCTACAAGCTTATGGTCTGTCTTGCCTTGTCTTCAGGTTTTCCCTCCTCTGCTGGGGTCAAATCCACGATGAGGCCCACACAGGACAAGCATTCCCCACACCTGAGCTGCTCTCAGCCACACTACAACTTTTTAAAATCTACTTGCTGTCTTTGCTGCTAACACCTAACTGTGCTTACCTCCCGACTACTCAAGACGCCACGAGGTCAGATCCCGGCAGCTGGCTACTCAGAGCCGTAAAGAGGAGACTGGGCAAATCCAGCTCAACTCCGTTTCCCCCACCACAAAACAGGCCTCAGGATGGTGGTGGCCACACACCTTTAATGCCAGCACTTGAAAGGTAGAGGCAGGAGGATCTCTATGAGTCCAAGACTTGACTGGTCTACAGAGCAAGTTCTAAGACAGCCAGAGCTACACAGAGAAACCTTGTCTCAAAAACAAACAAAGCCCACTGTATTTTATAGACTCGGGAAAACTGACACAGGTGTGCAGGTTAACGCTGGCCCACCAACAAGGACCAGCATTAACCAGCAACTTCACTGGCAGTCCAAAAGCTCTGCCCAGCCTTCCTGCAGATAAGCAAGCAACCGCCAGCTTCGGTAGCACATGCAGTCCATCTCAGCACTCCGTCTTCGGGCAGCCTGAGCTACATAAAGACCAGGTTATGTTACTGTTTTCCCAGACCATGCTTTGAAGAGCTTAACTCAAAACTTCACAGAGTTTCAAAACAAAACTCACAGTAAAACAGGGTCAGAGACAAGGATAAAAGATGTCCTAGACTTGAGAACACCCTTGGATTTCTTAGAAAATAGCATTATTATCATCAAGAAAGCAATGAGCAGACATGGGATACAGCCTGTGGTCCCACCACTCTAGAAACAGAAGTGGGAAAAATGCTAAGTTCAAGGCCCGCCTGAGCCACCACCCAAGCTCTCATGGCGACTTCTCCAGACTGTCTCCAACTTCCTCCACGCCCACTGTGGACAGAGCCTCATGCTCAACTCTTCAGTCTCCACAACAGAAGGAAGCCACCTTGCTGTGGAAGACTAAAGCAGGAACAGCTTGTGAGGACAGGCCCGAGGTAGAGAGGAACACCTTCAAAATCCCAAAGGAAAAGAAAGCTACAGTCCAAACTACAGCCCCTTCCCTCCTGCACTGAGCAAAGACAGAACTTGCTGGAAAGGGGTGTGTTAGCAAAAAGAAGTCAAGAAGGCGGCAGACAGCCTCACCCCACAAGCTCACCAAGACAGGTGCTGGTTGCGCACAGCCCGCCTCACCCATCCCAGCCGGCCGCCCCGCACTAAAGCTGCAGCCCTGACTGCGAGGCAGCACTCAAGGCACCACCGTTTACACCCGCGGCAAAAGCACCAGCGCCACACCCATCCACATTGGTACCAGAGCTCTCAACCCCACAGACGAACTTACAAGAAACACAACCAGAATTAAAAATTAATGCTCTCATCCCAGTGTGGTGGCATACACCTGTCAGCTCTCAAGAGACAGGGTCAATCTCAGCTACCATGTGAGTCTGAGGCCAGTCTAAGCTATAGGAGGTGGGGGATGGGGCTGTCACCACAGTGAGCTAACAACAGTAAAAGGCAACAATTTAATAGCCAGGCATGGTGGCACTGCCTTTAATCCTAGCACTGGGGAGGCAGAGGCCACAGTACTCCTGTGAATTCTAGGCCATGGTCTCAAATAGACCAACAAACAAAAAAAAAAATTAACAGAACACAGGCAAAATCTGTGTCCCTTTCACAGCCTGAAATACTGCAAAATTTAGAAATAACCACAAGCCAAATAAACAGTTAAACAGGCCTGGTAAGGCGGCTCAGGCACAGAAGAGCACACACTGCTCTTTAGGACCAGAGTCCAGATCCCAGCACCTACACTGGACAGCTCCAGCTCGGGAGCACCTGAGCTCCAAGGCACCTGAACACACATGCACTGGACTAAAGTCAATCTGCTCACACATGCTCGTTCACCGCCCTGACACACCACAGCAGGCAGGACACCCCCCTCATACCTTTTGGAGAAAGGCACCTCGGAAGTGACAGTGATCTTGCTCTTGCTCCGTTCAATGGTCACAACCCCTCCGCCAAGGTTGCCGGCTTTCCCATTCACCTTGATTCTCTCCTGGAGGAACTGCTCCTGTAAAAAAATCAACCAGTGAGCGCATGCTTGACCTCTCAGAGGCAGACCCGCTCAGACTGCCCCCCACACTCACCCAGAGATCTCTTTAACATCTCCAGTCTTCACAATTGTGTGTATGTAGTATGTACACATGTATGTATGTGGGTGTGCCATGGTGTGTCTGACCACTGGAGGACAACTTTGGGAGTCCTCCTCTGAGCAGACTCTAATCAGACTAAGGTCATGAAGCTTACAAGGCAAATTCATGATGGCATTAGTCAACATAACCTCATGCAATTTGAAGATGGTGCCCTGACTGGTTCCATGCATGAGGAAACGTGTCCCCACTGAAGGCTTAGAGGGCAGCACACAGTCACACTGTAACGAGTAAGCCCGGGTGGCACAGCGAGATCCTCATCCAACATAAAACCCAAGCAAAGGGGGCCAAGAATAAACGAAAACCAAAACCCAAACTTGAACATCAACATGCAAAGCAGCAAGCAACTTCTGAGCCTAAGGGGCATAGAGCATGGGTCTTAGATCTAGCAGAGAAGACCAAAGACAAACACAGACAAAACAATTACAGACCTGCCCGGAGTCACCTGCATGGTACCGCAGAAGCGACAGGGACCCATGAGCCCAGACAGACTTTGCAAAGCACCATGTGAGCCAAGGCAAGCCATTCACCTCAGGCTGCAGGGACTTCTGTCCAAAAGGGACTTTTTGTTTTGCTCTGTAGCCACTGCAAAGAGACGAAGTCCCTCTCAGCTCAGAACTACAGTTGTAGGGACTGGAGATGGCTCAGTGACAGGTGAGAATGCTCACTTAAGGAAGAGCCTGAGTAAACTCCCAAGACAACTAAAAAACAAATTATCTTCAGCTCTTTTTAACTCCAGTGAGAAGCTATGAACTATGCTGGAGCAGAGTAATTAGAAAGCAAATCCAAACTTTGACAAAAGTCTTCTAGAAGGGAAGTCTTTAGCAGAGATAGATGTGCTAAGGAGTAGTTTGCTGAACAAAGAGGCCACAGTGGTAACACCAGGCAAGGCCAACACACAAATGCCCAACAGAAAGGCAACCAAGGGCTGGAGAGCCTTCCACTCTTCAGAAGACCAGAGTTTGCTTCCCAGCACCCACAGGCAGCTCACAACCACCCACAACTCCCATTCCAGGGGATCTGGTGCCCTCCTCTGACTTCCAAGGGCATAAGGGATACATGTGGCATACAGACTTAAGTCTCACTCTGTAGACCAGGCTGGCCTCAAAACAAAAATCCACCTGCCCCTGCCTCCCAAGTGCTGGGGTAAAGGTGTGCAATACCACACCCACCCACCCACCCACATCAAGAAAATAGTAATCATAATAATTTTTAATTAAGAAAAAAGAAACCACCAACACACAGGACCAAAGCCACGGAGAAGTCACTGGATGTTAGGAGCCAACCGAGGCACATCTGACAAGGTTAGTAGCCACAGGCTAACTCCATTTGTACTTCATATTAATGGCTATACATCATCCCTGTACATTTTCAAATTCTGCAGAATTTTTTTTTCTTTTTTTTTTTTTGGTTTTTCGAGACAGGGTTTCTCTGTGTAGTCCTGGCTGTCCTGGAACTCACTCTGTAGACCAGGCTGGCCTTGAACTCAGAAATCCTCCTGCCTCTGCCTCCCAAGTGCTGGGATTAAAGGCGTGCGCCACCACCGCCCGGCAGAATGATTGTTCTTAACAGTTAACCTTCTGGGATGTGAAAAACCACTGTGAACTTAGAAGATGTTTGCATACATCCAAAGGCCTCAGTCCCCAGAGCCAAAAGGGGGCTGCAGAGACCCAACAATTCAGGGGAACACAGGGATACTGGGGATTAGAGCCAAATAAAAGGGGAAAGAAAAAAGTCAGGACAGGGCTGGAGATGGGTCAGCAGTTGAGAACATGTTGCTCATTTGGAGGAACAGGGATTGGTTCTCAGCACCAACAAGGTTCTCAGCTCACAACCACCCGTAACTCCAGTTCAGAAAATTCAATGCCCTGGCCCTCCATGGGCACTGTACACACATGGCAGAGACATACATGCACCAAACATACATACACAAAAATTTAAAAGACAATAATTTTTTAAATAAGAGGGGAACCTCAAAGAGAGCAGAGTGTGGGGAAAAAACCAAACCCTTCCCCACCCCAAATAAGCAGATTAAAGCAAACACTCAGGCATCGGCACTGTGGTGAGCTCCTGTCATCTCCTGAGGATGCAGAGACCCAGGAGGCCCAGGACGAGGCTGCCCATACAGACCAAACCAAGTGCAATGGTGAATGGGTAAGGTCATCTCTGGAAACCATTAGAAAAAGAAGGCAGAACTGCTAGCTGTCACCTATATGTCACAGTCTATCAGACTCCTATCTCAAGAGACTCAGCAACAAATACCTAATTTGCCCTGGCTCTGGTTAAGTAAGAAAGAGGGACTGCCCAACAAGTCATACCCCAGGACAGGGTCCCCACTGCACCTCTCAGAGTCCACTGCTCCCCAGCCCAGAGCAGAACGTCACTTACAAAATTGGCGGCGTCCATGATCCCATCTTCTACAGGGTGAGTGCAGTCGAGGGTGAACTTCAAAACTTGCTTCTTTTTTTTGCCCCCCTTGGCCACAAGCTTTTTCTAGGAGTATAGAGAAAACAGGAAGCCTCAGGCAGTCAGTCCCCAAGACAGACAGACAGACAGACACACAGACACACACACACACACACACACACGACCCATTCATGTCGGAGGCATAAGAAGTCCTTACAAATACAAGCCCAAGGAGACCGAGATGGGTGGGTGCCCTCCAGACAACCCCAATGTTCACAAGCATTAAGGTCAGCACGTGAACGTTTTCAGTAGTATTTTCCCCAAATAACACTCTTACTCTACTCACTTGTGAATGCAAGCTACAAGTGCTTTGCACAGTAAATTTTAGTGTGAACTCTACCCAAGGCCCCTGAATTTCAGACCACAGCATTTCATCCCCACACCCCAGACCTTCTCAGGAATGGCAGAAGGAACCATACAACAGTCTAGCTGCCTTCCATGCCAGCCTCAAAGTTAAGAGTGTGGTCAGCCATTTTCAGCTTGACTTAGCTCTTCCAAACTACACCTAAGAGGGTCCAGCTGACTTTTACAAAGTTAACACCCACCAATCGTCTCTCTACAGACCCCTGAAACTTCCAAAAACTCACCTGAATTTCTGCTACTCAAGTTCTGCAGTTCACAAAAACCACACTACCTCCCTCCCAGTTCAAGAGACCGTCCACAACTTGCACTGAGTCAACCTTTCAGTTACTAGAAAACTGTTCTACTCAATGTCTTCCAACTACCAACCAAAATGACTCCTTTCAAGTCTATCCCCGAGAAAAGGATAGGTTAGTAAGAGCACCTACCCACAACGGGCCCCAAAAGCTCCCAACAGGATTCTAACCCAAAGTGCACACAAATGCACCGAAGCACTTGAAAGCCAAGGTGGAAAAATGAAGACGACTAGAAATGCACCTTTAAGAGTCCCAACTACAAAACAAAGCACCACCTAAAACCACTTAGTCCCAAGAAGAGCGATCTCCAAGAACTGCCTGACACGAAGGTGGCGCATAGCCTAGCCTCAGCCCAGAGAATCGAATTGGGCCTCCTCCTTCGCCCGACGCCAGGAAAGAACTGTACACTGCTGCACCCTAATAAAAGCAGCTCCCTCGAGGGGTGCTAGAAGAACTCCTCAAGCTCAAGGTTCGTCCCTAAAACCCGGCCACCAGGTGGAGGGCCATTTCCACTCGGCTGCCCGGGGTGGCAGGTCACATCCGTCTTCCCCGCCCCTCGCCCAAGTAATCGGGCCCGCTGCCCGGAGCCTGGGGCTGGACTCAGGCTCCAGCGATATCCAGCTCACAGCCTCTAAGCTCCCGCGGGCCGCTAAGAGGAGCCCGATTCGCCACCACGAGCTCTCCGGGCTCTCCCGCACCGCGTCGAGCCGCGGCCTCCTCCGCCCACAACGTGCTGGACCCGGCCGCGATTCCGGCTTCCTTCGCCCGCTTGCCAGGCCACCCCTGCCTGACGCTGCAGGGCGCGGTGCCCCCACGCGAGCCTGCGCCCGAGCCAGCCCACCAGGCCCACGTGCCGCTCACGGAGCCGCGGCCGCACGCGGAGCCATACTAACCACAGGCGCCATGGCGGCAGAGGAGGCAGAAAGGGAGGGGGGCGCACTACGCAGGCGCGAAGAACCCGCAGCGCACAGTGCACGCAAGGAGCCAGGCAACTTCAATCGATCAGCCCTCGCCTCTCGATCGCCCTTCCCTACCACCTAAGTTACGATCCGGCAGCTATTGCTTTTCCCGGCGCAAAGTCGGCTGTCGGGAAAGGGAGGAGTTAGATGGGCTGTTCCACTGCGAATGATCGAGGGAGACTGGACGAGCCCAAGAGAAATAAAGGGGTTAGGTTAGAAATAAAAGGGCTCTACTTTTGAAAGTCTCGAAGAATTAAGACGGACGTTCCCTAAGCAATTCACCAGCTGACCGGATAAGAATCGAACACAGTATCTTAAGGAGACTGGGACAATCCCTTTTTGACCACAGAGAATTTTAGAATCCTCAATGTAGCCAGGCCACAGCAGTAATCCCACCACTCAGGAGGCAGAGGCAGGAAGACGCCTCAAGAACGTAGCTGGTTTGAGACCAGCCTGGGCTACAGTATCTACAACAGCGAGTTGCATCCAGGCCAGCCAAGGTACATAGCTACCTGCCTCCAAAAAAACGATGGTGGTGGTGGGGAGTTGTAGTACCATATTTCTTCATCCTATGGAAAACACACATCTTGGAAGATCATACCAACCATGTGACTAGCCTTCCTTCTGCCCCCAGGAGCACGCTCCAGTTTGATCCCTTAAGTTCAAGCTGGCGCCTTCTACTTCCCCAGTTCCAGAATGCCCCCTCCAGCTTTCCAGGATCACCCAGATCTGGGCCATACAGTGTCTGGTTCAGCAGCGTTTAGGGTCTTATTTTTGCTCATCAACCGCTTGTGCGTACTGAGGATTTTCCTCCCTAGGTGTACAGCTCATTGACATGGCCCTTTGTGTTCCTAGAGAGTTATATCCTCCAGGATCCTGAACTGTGACCACACCGTCCAGTTCTGTTACCTGGATTCCCTAAAAATCCGGCTTTGATTTACAATCTTTAAAGGAAACACACCTTGCTTTTTGGTCAGGGTAAAGTCAGTGTCTGTGCTTACTCATCAGGCTTTAAAGCTGCCTGCTGTTTTATCTCCTGCTTGGTTTGACTGCAAGCCGCCCTTAGACTCAGCATTCTCCTGCCTCATTTTTCCAAACTCTGAAATTACACGCATGGACCGACGTACCCAGGGGCAGCCTGCTGTTCTTAACGTTGTGATGCTACAGACAATTAAGTTCTATAAGAATTGGCTTTGCTTCCTCCTTGTTGTTGAGTGTTGGCATTACCCACTCTTGCTTTATTCTGTCAGAGGGAGTTGGAACATTCCAGAAGCAGCGTTGATATTCGTTTATTCCAATACTTGCAGAAACAGCTCTCCCTTCTCTCTCATAGCCCCCAGATAACCCTCCTCATTCGTCTGAGTCTCCCCTCTTTAGAGGGACTATGGTGTCCGTCAAACCTGTGGCTGGAAGACACTATATATTCCAGAATGGTTATAAAAAAATTCAGCCCAACATGTCTGAGACCACAGCACCATGCTTACACCATGCTAATATATGCTAGTGTATTTGTGCGAGTCTGTCCCTTCCTTCCCAAGAAGTCAGGTTGGGTGGCAAGTGCCCTTACATGCTGAGCCATCTGACTAGCCCTGAAAAAACCTTTTTAAAAAATATTCTTGCCAGGCGGTGGTGGCACACACCTTTAATCCCAGCACTTGGGAGGCAGAGGCAGGTGGATTTCTGAGTTCAAGGCCAGCCTGGTCTACAGAGTGAGTTCCAGGACAGCCAGGGCTACACAGAGAAACCCTGTCTCGAAAAACCAAAAAAAAAAAATTATCATTTTTGGTGGGGGCAACATACCCAGCTCATGTGTAGAGATAGAGAACATTTTTTTAGTATGAGAGAGAGAGACCTGAGGATCCAAACTCAGGTTGCTGAGTTCCATAGCAGATATCCTTTCCCTCTGGGCCATCTTAAGAGCCTTGAAAAAAAGTTTAAAAATCCCTTAAATATTCTGTTAAAGCCCACGGACAAAAGCTGGGTGTGGATGGTGGCTTATGTCTGTAAAGGAGACACCAGGGAAGCTGAGGCAGGAGCATTACTACAAATTTAGGGCCAGCTTGTCTTACGGAGAAAGAGAACTCAGCCCTAGCTTAGGAAGGTCCAACGTGATTTATTTAGGGCAAAATCCATCAGCTCCAGGAATCCCACAAGCCTAGACACTCACCTGTCCAATGTACTAGAGAAAAAAGACAAATACTAAAGAAAGGCAATCTAGTCAACATGGCTTCTTGGGGAAGACAGATAAAAGGGGTGGAGTGAATCCAAGTCTATCTGTAAGGGGAGGAGAGGCAGCAGAGCGGGTAATCCAGTCAGGCTAGTGGGCTGGCTGGGTAGCTTCAGGGTTCTGGCTCTGTGAGGGACTCGGAAGCCCTGCTGTCCCGGCTAAAAAGCCGTCAGTTCCCTAGAGGTCACTCCTGCTCCAGGCGATTTTCCTCAGGTAAAGTGACCTGACCTTCAAGGCTCGCTCTGCCTGGGGGGATACTTTTAGAGATTATCATAAAGATGTTTATCCGTCTGTTTTTTTTTTTTCCTGGAATCTAGCCTAACTGCCCGAGGGAGAGAATGGCTCCCAGGAAGAAAAATGAAAGTCAAGAAAACCAGACCCAGAGGAGAACTAAACGGTTTGTTCATTACTCCAGAGACCCACGCGCTCCTTCAGTGACTCCACGGTGGTGGGAAGGGGATCTGATTCTCTTCACAGTTTTCACTTGCGGAAATGCCCCACCTCAGGCTACAAGGGGCGAGCTCCGCTTTGCTGTGCCAGGCTCAGGTTTTCAATGGGTTTAGATTTTTTTTTTTGGTGGTGGTGGTTTTTCAAGAGAGCATTTTTTTCTGTGTAGCCCTGGCTATCCTGGAACTTGCTCTGTAGATCAGGCTGGCCTCAAACTCACAGAGAGATCTGCCTGCCTCTGTGTCCTGAGTGCTGGGATTGTGTACCACCGCCACCTGGCAGCATTTTTTTTTTTAATTATGTGGATGGAGAGTGGGGTGTGTGTGTGTGTGTGTATGTGTGTGTGTGTGTGTGTGTGTGTGTACATGCTTGGAGGGCATTAGATGCCCTAGAGCTGGAGTGACGGTCATTATGAACCACCTGATGTAGGTGCTGGGGCCAGAACCCAACTCCTCTGGATGAAGAGCAGTCACTAACCACTGTGCTTCCTTCCCCTTTTCAATTTAAAAAAAAGTGTGCGTGTCTGTGTGTGTCTGTGTGTCTGTGTGTGTGTGTGCATCTCTCTCTCTCTCTCTCTCTCTCTCTCTCTCTCTCTCTCTCTCTCTGTGTGTGTGTGTGTGTGTGTGTGTGTGTATGTAAAGCTCAGGTCATCTGAGTTGGCAGCAAGCATCTCCACACTCTGAGCCATCTCACCAGCCCCCACTTACCTTATTTCCAGAGTTCACTGGGACTTGACACTACCTCAGGGGCAGTGTGAGGTCCCCTGACTAGAACACGGCTGACTTGCCAACCTTTCCTCACAGTTAATGGCTCCCCTTGGCACCCGAGGAGGCTGTGCGAACATTGCAGCCTTTGCAGCCTCTGCCTTCCTGCCTGCTGCTTTAGGCAGTCCCTCCTCATGGGGAAGACCACCCCATTCATCCCGCAGTGCTCCCTTCCCCCAAGAACTCCAAACATTGCCTAGCTCAGGACCCCGATGTCCCTGCAGCTGGCCACCCCACCCTTGTGCACAGAGCCTGGGTTGGGGATGATGGCTTTGAGTTTTGCCCTCACTCTTCTGATGAATGCACTCAGGTCAGATTCTCTCAGCACCAGGATAGCTCCTACAAAGGTCACCTGACCTCCTTTCTCCGTCTTACTCCTCCTGAATCTCTCGTCCTGACCTGAGACTTCTCACCCTTCTCTCCTCCTTGCTGAGCTTGCCACCAGGCCTTCCAGTGTCTCATCCTACCCAGTACTGCAACTTCATCTCTGTCCACTCTGGTCTTTTTTCTAATTTATTCAAGGTCTTGGGGCCTTGGAGTTGCTTGGGATGTCCGTGGCCTCCAAAGTCTCAAGTTCAGTATTCTCCTCCGCTTCTGATACATTAGTGTGGCCTGGAGCCCCCTCCCCTCCCCTGCTCTCCCTCAAATCCCCCCCCACTCTTCCTCACATCTCCCTTATTACAATATTAAATAATATTGCAATTTAACACAGTCTGACATTGCTGGGTTTATTTGTATACTCACTTAACCCTGATTGGTGTGATGGTTTGTCTATTCTTGGCCCAGGGAGTGATACTATTAGAAGGTGTGGCCTTGTTGGAGTAGGTGTGTCACTGTGGCTGTGGGCTTTAAGACCCTCCTCCTAGCTGCCTGGAAGTCAGTATTCTGCTAGCAGCCTTCAGATGAAGATGTAGAACTCTCAGTTCCTCCTGTACCATGCCTGCCTGGATGCTGCCATGCTCCCACCTTTGATGATAATGGACTGAACCTCTGAACCTGTAAGCCAGCCCCAATTAAATGTTGTCTTTATGAGAGTTGCCTAGGTCATGGTTTCTGTTCACAGCAGTAAAACCCTAATTAAGATAACTGTTATGTTTCTTTCTATGTCCCAATGCCTGGTACAGTATCCAGCCCACAGTAGATGCTCATTTAATACATAAACACATGGATTAACGAAACACAAGTTCAAGAATATCTAGTGTCTGCATAGTGGTTCGACACCTATAATTCCAGCACTCAGGAGGTAGAGGCAGGAGGATCCAACATTTGAGGGCAGCCTGGGCTATATAGTGAGACCCTGTCTCCAAAACAAAAACAGAGCAGGAGAAATTGCTCAGAAGAGCACTTTTGCAGATAATGGAGGAGGGGTTCCAGCACCCACATGGTGGCTCATAATCATCTGTAATTCCAGTTCCGGGGGATCTGGCTTCCTCTTCTGGCATCTACCAGCACTGCATGCATGTGGTGCCCAGCCATGAATGCAGGCAAAACACTCACACATATATATATATATATATCATATAGGGCTGGAGGGATGGCTCAGCTGTCAAGAGCA